TATTGCTGTTTTTACAGACGGTTAAATTTTAAACGCACGGAATACAGTGTAGCCGCTTAATTTAAGACAAAACTTAAAAAAAGTAATTCAATTTCGATGATTGAGTTTTCGAGAACAAGAGAACATGAATACGGTATCACCGCTTCACCATGTTCAATATGACCTTAAGTCCCCCATGTGACACAGACGCAAAACGAAAGTTCAGACGAAGTCACCCTACTTATAGAATGGTAAAAATCAATCGGTACACAAATATGTTGAAACAATTGAAGAAAAATGAAACGAAACTCATTATTTCTCACCTTCATACAAAGAAGATCCCAATAAACAATCCTGTGACGGTTAAATCAAGGGAATTACACCTGTGCCCTGCATCCTATCTCGACAGCGTCATTGCGTGATATGTTATCAGAATGGACCACCCGCCAGTTTGAGCTGGTTTTTTTAGTGTGCAAAAGAAGCCATTCGTGTGTAGACGTCATCAGTTAGTGAGTATGGAAGAAGATCGCTATCGATGTATAATTTTCACGCGGCATTTTAAAGTCGTCTGATAAGAATCGATCTCTGAAGTTTCACCGTTGCGAACGTTATATTGGGACGCGGTGAAGAAAAATTGACCTTGCTGAGCAATAAATGTGAAATTCTTAAGAAAACTGATATTATCATGGATTTCTTGACACAAACTAACCGACATACTACTTTGGACGATTGAACAGTTTTAATACAAAAAGATAGGATTAGATGAAATTTTCATCGGGGTGGGACACCGCATGTATCGTAAGTTAAGCTAATTTTGTGATCATTTTTCAGTCACTTCAAATAAATTTTTATTTAAATAACCATTTGCACATTCTGTTTATTATATCTTCTTGCAGTAGGTGTATTCCCTGCTTCAATAATTCATTCAAACCCTAAACAAACTGTTCCCAAATAGAGGTAGGGTCGAAATTCCACAAAAAAGGACGCCATTTTGAGGGTAATTTCGATATATTTTCTGCTTTTTCTCTTATTTTGCTTTTATAACAGCATCCTCCTTGCTCATGCAGCTTCTTTGATTTGTTATTGAAACATACACAACGATGTCATGAGAATTTGGTTGGCTATCTAAATTTAAATAACATTCTTGTTATGGCCCCCCTGCAGTGCACCACTAGCAAAGAATGACTGATATATGTAAGATCTATATATATTAATCTAAACCTTGGAAATTTTAACGTAAAGGCCATACATTTATACCCTACATATATTTAGCCATCAAACATGTCCTACTGCTAAACACATCCAGGCAAATGTCCCCCTGGGTGGGGTTGATATAACATTGCTTTCTGACGTTGATACAACGTTGTTATCTGAGGTTGACACAACTTTCAAATCCAACGTTTATTCAATGTCTTTTCAACGTTATGGTTCAACGTTGTTTCAACGTTAAAACAACATAATTTGCCCGCTGGTTAAGAGTCATAAACCAATTTAAATTATATTATTATACGCGATTTAAGGTCTCGTTAAAAAAACGAAAACGAGCTCAGTCTGGACGTATACATAAATTATTTTATTCGATTCCTCATACCTGTACATTTGCTTGGTGCCAGATGTCGCAGTTGCCCCTTCAGTTTCTGTAAATTAACGAGTTCAAGACTACTGGTAATTTTCATCTTAAACATCTTGGTGCATACCTGAATGTCAAAGTTTACAAGGTGGGCTTCGTTTGAAATAGGGGGTTGCCATTAATCACGTCTGCACAAAACAAAACGTCTTTAAATTCCTAATCTAATTATAGGGTGGTCCAAAAATATGTCTCTATGTTTGATATATTAGCAGTTTTGATTGAAAGGAAAATTTAACAATTTAAAAGACCTGTGTAACAGACATGCAAGTTTTGTTCGGTCAAAGGTTCTTCCTCGTATACCATCATTTAGCGAGCACAACTAAATAGTTTATAATGTGTTCGATCCAAGCTCCTTGGCACTGATCACTGTGGCTACTCGAACACTGAAGTTTGCAATGACATTGTATTATTAACATCCCCATCATCACTCCCGGAGGCAAGACACTCATCCCTAGGGGAAAATACACTTGCGACTCTCAGAACGTCATCTATTTGATAAGATGTAAACAATGCCATCAAATGTACGTCGGAGAAACAAGCCAGAAATTAAAAGACAGAATTAGACACCACCGCTGCACTATAAACAACAAAAACCTCTTCGTACCAGTGGGACAGCACTTCAACTCGCCGAACCACTCAGTTAATGACATCACTGTCACCGTCCTAAAAGGAAACTTAAACGACACTAGGCAAAGACGGATCGCCGAACAGATATTTATAAAAACACTAGACACCTTGAATAATGGACTCAATAGGGACAATAGTTTCTTAAATGAGTATTGATTTTTTTTCTTTGTTACGTAATTTTGACGTTGTTTACGTATAGCACGCTTTTGGGCCATCGCATGTCTTCAACACATCACCGACGTCACATATCCTAGGAGTTTGTTTTTTTTTACTTTTTGTTCATAATCCCCGAAGAAGGCCCAGGGGCCGAAAGCTCGGATTGTATTTAACAACTATAATGTAGATCTTTCAAGGTGCATCAATATATACACAAAACACGTAAAACGGCATTTTCATAGAAATTAATTTGCAAATCCTTCGTTTCCATGCAGGCATAGTGAAAAAATGTACTCAGAATTGAGGACAGTAAGTTTCATTTTAATAAAGGGTGCATCTCGTAACACCCCTAATTTTTAGTGTTAGTAGTGTGCGGATTTTATACAGAACCGTTGTTATATTTAAAATTTTCATTACGAAGATAGGCTAAAACCTTCGTTACGGAATACGAAAGTCCCCCGTATAATCAAAGCATGAATTAATTTTTTTCTGTGATTTACAAAAATAATATAAATAAATAAATAAATAAATAAATAAATAAATAAAAAGCCAAACCTGTCACTTTCTGTCACCAGACATTTAGAAAAATTAGAAATCTCGAATAAATCTTTAACTTCATTTTTCATTTTTCTGCATACTGCAATGCTTTGTGCCTTTCAGTGTAGATGCCTTGTCTCTGTCTTCTGTCTCGATCCTCACTTCCACCGACAGGTAAAATATATTTATACAGCGGCGACAAAAACCAAATGTGAGCGTAGGCCCACCCATACCAGTACATAAGCAAAACTTTTTTTCAGAATTCATACACATAGGCCTCCAAATACACCATCACAAATCTTATCTTAAATCATAATGATAATAATAAAATTAAGAAAACAGCAAGCAACAGTGTTTTAAGGGAGGTATAAAAAAATATTATTTTCGGTCAATTCACATTCCTGTCTCGTTGTCACAAAACCATATTGGAATAATTTGCGTTAGTTACAGTGAGCATTGTTTTATGTTTGTCATGCAAGTTTTTGCACACATGACGTGAGGCTTTTTGCAATACTTTCATATATTAACTTAAAAAGAGAAAAGCCACAACTTTAAGCTATTGTTGCTGCCTTTTACTCCAAAACAAAGTCTATATCACCATCCATTAAACCGTTAAATCAGCTTGACCGGTCTTTCTTCAAGAATTCAGTTGTGCGC